AGAGAGAGAGAGAGAGAGAGAGAGAGAGAGAGAGAGAGAGAGAGAGGCGGGCAGGCAGGAAGGCAGGCAGACACACAAACACACACACACACACAACCTCCTGAATCAGACGAGTTGGTGTCACCGTGTCAGTCCAGTGAACAGTCTCGCACAGTCATGCTTTTTGTGTGGAGTTGTGCTCAGAGAACAAGACAACATGTGCACAGACACACACATTGTCAATTTGAAAGAGTTTAGGTACATTCTCTCCTTTTCTAAGTACCTTCTATGTGTCTAGGCAAGCACCTTTAAGCAGTGCCAAATGGTTGGGCATTCCTCGTTTGGAGTTCCCGCAGCACTATCGGTAGTAGGGTCGTGTGTCTGTATTTCTTACTGGTGATGACAAACTGTCGATCGGAGTGACTTGGCGCCTCAGCGGCTCCTCGGCTCAGCGGCTCAGCGGCTCAGCAGATGGTGGAAAGTTGGAAACCCACAGTTTGTGGGGTTTGACTTGTGGTTTGATTAGGAGATGGATTGCTTAAATTGGTCTGAGGTCAACCTGGATCTTGGATGTGAGGACACAGACCAAATTGTGTCCTTTGGTCTGTGTCCACAGAGCAAGGATTGCTTGTGGTGTGTGGACACAAACCAAATTGACTGGTGGTGTGTGGACACAGAGCAAAGGACACAGACCAAAGCAATCCATCCCCTCATCTGCACTCCATTCCTGCCTTGCTACCCACCCAGGCCAGTGCACTTGGCAGTGCCTTGGCTTTCACTGCGGTAACTTGGCAATGGCATGTCTTTCACTGCGGTAACTTGGCAATGGCATGTCTTTCACTGCAGCTTTGCCGTGGCGTCTGGTTGCCGTGTTAGTGTTGCCTTGTGCTTCGCTACCTCCACGTGTGCTGCCCGGCCGCATGCCTTGTCTTCGTGTGCGTTTTGTTTTGCTTGTGCGCTGTGCGGTTCGGCTGCTTTGCAGCGCTCACCGCTGCTTTGCGGGTTGCTGTGTTGTTGCCTTGCTGCCCGTCCGCTTGCACCGTTGTTCCGTGGAGTTCGCGTTCACTTGGTGTTGTGCAGTTGGGTTGCCCCCTGTCAGGCTGTCAGCACCCTGACAGCATAGAGCTTCGCCGAGTTGTTGAAAATTTTGGGTACGGCGTTCTGAAAACGCCCGACCTACCCCCGTACCCAAAATTTTCGGGGTACGGCATTCTGAAAAGCACTGGCACGGACTCGTCAGGGGACTTCCGGAAAAGCATTATTTTTTTCGCTTTACTCGTATCTTTTCTCTTTTCTTGTTTGTTGAAAAATACTTTTTGGTACGGAGGTAGGGCATTCTGAAAATTTTGGATATCATCATCAGTTGTTGAAAATTCTGGGCACGGCGTTCTGAAAACCACCAACAGTTACTCGTCTGGATTCAGGAGGCTGAACCCTCGACAAGCTGGCAGCTGCTATCTTCTGCGTGACAATGTGATGTTGCTTGTGGGCAGCTTTTTTTTTTTTTTTTTTTTTTTTTTTTGAATGGGCCCAGTGCCCAACAAGGATCAAACATTAAGGGTTCATTGCCCAAAGCATCATGATCAATATCCGGATTGCGCAGCTTCAGGTTGTCGAGGGTTCAGCCTCATGATGAGAATCATGAGATGAGTCGGTGCGAGTTCCTTGGCAAAACCTATCATCGTCGGTTTTTTTTTCTTTTTCTTTCTTTGCTCATATCTTTTCTTGTTTGCTGTGTTTTTTTTTGTTTTTTTTTTTCCTCTTGTTTGTTGTGTTTTGCCTGCAGTGGCTACTGTTTGGCTCTGTCCCTTTTCCTTCCTCGCTTTGTGCTGCTTGTCAGTCCAGCTGCGTCCCCCCATGCCCTCCACAGCCTGTGCCGCCCGCTGCACCTGTTGTCCCCGGTTATTGTCTTTTTTTAAGTTTTTTAAGTTTTTTAAGTTAAAAGTTTTTTAAGTTTTTTTCCTTGCCCTGTGAGCTTGTGTGTTGTCTGCTCCTTCCGCCTCCCCTGAGCCCTCCAGCCTATGTGTTGCCTCACTGCTTTTGCCTTGCGCCTTTTGCCTGCTTGTTTCTCGTCTGCTCCTTGTTGTCCTTTCCCTGCTTTGTGCACTTGTTGTGTTTACTTTTTTTTTAATAGAACCTGTCGAACTTAGTATCGTTACTTCGTCTCTTTTTTTTTTTTTTTTTCGCTCTCCATTTTTCCAAACTTAGTATCGTTACTTCGTCTCTTTTTCACTTGTTGCTTTGTGTTGGTTGTCTGCCCACCCTCCTCCCCCATGTCCTCCACCCTTTGTGACTTGCAACCTCTTGTTGTCCAGTGCGTTGTTACCTCGCCGTCATTCACCTCACCGTCTTTTGCCTTCACGGCCTTTGCATTGTGATATTTCATGGGCACCTTAGCCAGGCACACGAGGGCACCTCACCTTCTAATAAGCCTTGACGGGAGCAAGCGCTAAAAAGTGTGTGAAGGGATGTGTCATCCCTTCTCTAGTGGTCACTACACCAACCTTGATGGTTAGGCCATCGTTGCTCCCCGCTCTTCCTCTCTCCTCCTCCATCTTCTCTTCTATTGGCCTTTGGACTTGTCGGAGGTATTGATGGTATGTCGCATGGGACAGACCGGCGAACGGGGAAACGCGGTCCAGCATTAGGTGAGCGAATCAATCATGAGGTTCCCGTTTATCAGTTTGCTTTGTTATATTACTTCACACACACACACACACACACACACACACACACACACACATATACTCTCCCATCCCTACCCTTACACTCAACCCCTGGATACACACACACACACACACACCCTGGATCACAAAGTTTAAAAGAGGTGGATGGGCCAGAGAGCGAGGTGGAATGTGGAGGTCAACGATGTTTCAAAGTAATGACCATGTTGTGGTGTTTAGGATGATAGGGGGTTAAGGGTTCGAATCCCATTAAATTTCTTCTGTACGAGCAAAATATTTTGACGAAAAGCCAGTCAAGTAATCAATGCTGTCACGGTTTCACTCCGGTAATTACACATCTTCTCTTCTGGGACCCTGGACCCAGATTCCAGCAGCAGGTGCATCTTCTCAACAGTGCAGATGCAGCTCCCCACCAACTGGGAAAAAAAAAAAAAAAAAAAACTCCGAAAAAATTTATGTTATGCGGCTTATGCCTAGGCTACCAGAGTCGCCTTCTAGCATCTCATCGTTTCATTGAGCTGCATGAGATCATCGTTAACTTTCACTTGTTATTTTTATTTGAGATCATCGTTAACTTTCACTTGTTACTTTTATTTGAGAACCTTTAGTTGACTTTACAGCGTGCAATTTTGTGCCGATGCTGTTTTGCTGCCTGCTTTTCTGCCTGCTTTGCATGAGCAGTTCATCTGGATTTTCTCTCTTACCAGAGTGGCCTGGGACCACTTGCCTGGACGGGCCAACAAAAAAAAGGGGGGAAAAAATAATAAAAATAATATATTATAATTTGGTAAAGAATTGCGGTGTGACCCTGAGGCAAAAGTTGCTCAGCTTATGTTCTTGCATAACATAGTTTGTTTTCGGATTTATTTGATTTTGTAATTTTTGCTGGGACCTTCCCTGGTCCTTGCACGGCAGGCCCCCCCAGGAAAACAGGGTGACCCAGGCGGCCCAGCTGGAAACCTAGTGTTATGAAGAAAAATAGACTGAACAACATTTGCCTCAGAATTCCATCCAAATTCTTTACCAAATTTGAAATAAAAATAAAATACAGAAAACAAAATAAAAGTTATATTATAAAACCACGAAAAAATGAAGAGAGAATTAAAATCAGTGCATGCGCGGGCACAGTTTAAACACCGCCATCTTTGGCGATTTTTTATTTTGTTTTGGCTTATTCAAATGCCCTGAAAATTTATGGATGGGTATCTCACATGACACAAAACTCGTTAAAAAAAATTCAAAAAATAATAAAATTGTGTAGGCCCCGAAATAAAATAAGAACAAAAAGTGAAAAGAGAAAAAATAAAATAAAAAAATAGTGAGTGGGCGAGCACGTTTTGACACCGCCATCTTTGGCGATTTTTCATCTTGTTTTGGCTGAGAAAAATGCCTTCAAAATATATGGCCGTCTACCTCACATGATAAAGAACTCACAAAAAAAAAAAGAAAAAAAAAGTAGTCCCCAATATTTTTTGGCGATGGCCGAACCCCTTCAGGCTCGGACCCCGAACGCCCGAACATAGTACGGAGGTCCGCCTGGGGCCCTCCGTACATACCGGCTGGTAACCCTGACTATATATGTGTGTATATATATAACAGTTTGTCACAGCCCCTCGTTTGTTGTCCTCTTCTCTCTCTCTGCCTACGGTTTACCGGGCAGTTCTGTTTGTGACGATATATA